CTGCTCTCAGGAAAGAGGAGCAGCACCCAAGATGGTACCATTTCCTGTTACCCCAGTACTTTGGAGACTGAGGCAGGGGAATTGCTAAGAATTTGAGGCCAGCCTGGGCTACATAGTAAGTTTTAGGTCAGCCTAAGCTACAAATGAGGCTCTGTCTCTCTCTCTCTCTCTCTCTGTCCCACACACACACACACACACACACACACACACACACACACACACACACACACACAGAGTTCATCATTACAATGGTGAAGGAGTCTAGAAGAATCCATTATTGGCTGTGCTATGGTGCTGGTCGAGGGGACCCCTTTCACTCAGGAAAGTGGAAGACAGCCACGTCCAGGTTCCCCCACGTCTTCCTACCCTTGCCAGGGTGCTGGCTGGTGGTTCGGGGGGGGCCCCCCTTCCTGGGGGTGGGATAAGCAGGGCTGGGGGCTCCTGGTGTCTAACGGTCCCCTTCCTTCAGCTCTTCCCCAGAGTGAAATCTCAGAGGAGCAAGATCTAGCAGCTATGAAGGAAGATCGTCAAGGACAAAAGAGCAAACCCGCCTGCCTTCCACCCGGACCTTCCCAGTGCAGCTACTGCTGAGTTTACCTGCGCCCTGCTCTCCAGAGGGGGGCAGCCTGCACCAGAAGTTCTCCTTGTTCCAGAGGCTCGAGGGAGGGCAGCCCCAGACTTAAGATTAGGAAGTCGCCTTAGGCATTGGGGTGAAGTGGGGTGAGGGGCTTTGTGGGCAGGAGACCCCCCCCCACACACACACACACACACAGACTTGCCAAATCAGACCTGGTTCAAAGAGCCTCCTAACTGCCAGCAAGCCACTGAGCTGTGGCAGCTGAGCCTGGGAGGGTGACCCACCCCTTCATTTCTCTCTGAGTCCTTTCTGCCTCCAATCTTCCCAGCAGCCCCCGTTTCTCCCAGCAGCCTTGGGGCTCGGGTGGGGCGCATGGCTCCTCAGTTGGATGTCTGCTCCGCCTGCCCAACCAAGTGCCTTCACACCCATGTGGCTTAATGTTTGCAATGACACCGGGAACTGTTTCCTTTATGAATAAAGGTAGTTTGCACAGAAGTGAGCATCATTTTGAGTCTGTTCAGGCTCCAAGAATGCTGTCTGTGCCTCAGAGGAACGGGTTAGTTTTTGTCAACTTGACACTTAACCTGGACAAGTTACTTCTCACAAAGGTCTGTCACAGGCAAGTCCAATATTTTTATTTTATTGTTAGTTTCTTGAGACAGTGTCTCACTATATACTCTAGCTGTCCTGGATCTCGCTAGCCTCAAGCCTGCGTCTTCCTTTCAAATGCTGCCACTAAAGATGAATGCCACCATACCCAGCCTTTTGTTTTGTTTTGTTTTGCTTTTTGGAGACAGGGTTTCTCTGTGTAACTAACCCTGGCTGTCCTGGAACTAACTCTGTAGACGAGGCTGGCCTCGAACTCAACGAGATCCACCTGCCTCCCCCTCCCGAGTGCTGAGATTAAAGGAGTGTGTGAACACCTCCTTGCTCATGCTCAGGTTTTTAAAAAGATTTTAAGACAGGATTTTATTGTGCAGTCTAGGCTACCGTTAAACCTGTAATCCTGGTGCCTCAGACCCTGTAGGAGCTCAGGGTGATAGACGTGCCCCGCCGTGACCAGTTTCTGCTTACTTATTTAGCAAAAGACAAAGAAAAGCTTTTATATCATGTGACCACATTAGGAAGCTGGAGAATTTGAAAAGATCCTTTGAATAAAAATGTTTAAAAGAGAAATAAAGAGCTGGGTGGTGGTGGTGGTGGCGGCGGCAGCGGTGGCACACGCCTTTAGTCCTAGCTCTCAGGAGGCAGAGGCAGGCAGATCTCTGTTGAGTTCGAGGGCAGCCTGGTCTACAGAGTGAGTTCCAGGATAGGCTCCAAAGCTACAGAGAGAAACCCTGTCTCGAAACCCCCACCCCAAAAAGAATAAATAAATAAAAAACAGGGGGATAAAAAAGGTCTGGTGCCACCTCCCCCAAGTCCATCTTCAGGGTCCTAACACGAGGTTTAAGTTGAGAGAGCAAGAGGTATGTGTTAACTAAGGGACTGGACATAGGCAGGCGAGATCCTGCCCATCACTGACTGACTGGCTGGCCTCCACCCTGGCCTTCAAGGTGGTTTGATGCATGATTAAGGACAGTGTGAAATCTCAAACCAAGAGACAAGTTTCCTCACTGACTGGCACAAGTGTGTGTGTGTGAGCATGCGTGTGCACACACACGAAAAAGATGTGTTTCGTTTGGGGATGGCAAGGTGGCTCCACAGGCCAATTAATGCACAGACAAATGCTCAAAATTCTGAACTTTCGCTCCCCAGAATCTGCACAGTGGACAGAAAGAAGCTTCCAGCAAGTTGTTCTCCGACAGTCCCAGTGCATACCCATGTAACTAATAAAGAAATAAAATGTAATTAAAAATTAAGTGGGGCTGGAGCGATGGCTCAGCGGTTGAACACTGTTGCTCTTGCAGAGGACCTGGGTGTGGTTTCCAGCCCCCAGATAGTGGCTCACAGCCATCCATAGCTCCAGGACCTGGGGATCTGATTCCTTCCTCTGATCTACAAAGGCACCAGGTATATACACTTGCTGCGCACACATGCAGACAGGCAAAAGCACGCATACACATACAATAGAATAACTAGAAAGAAAAACAGCCGGCCATTATAGTACACACCTTCAATCCCAACATTCAGGAGGCAGAGCCTGGTGGATTTCTGAGTTCGAGGCCAGCCTGGTCTACAGAGCGAGTTCCAGGACAGCCAGGTCTGCACACAGAAACCCTGTCTCAAGAAAACCAAACCAACTAAATAAAACGTGATTAAAAAAGCAGGCACTGAGGGCTATAGCTCAGTTGGTAAAGTGCTTTTGTATGACGTATTTATTGTCGGTGGTTGGTTGGTTTTTGGATTTCTTTCTTGGAGTTTTCTTTTTTGAGCCTTAAACTCACTTAAGTAGGCAAGGATGATTTTTTTTTTTTCTGCCTCTGCCTCCTGAGAGTGCACGTGCACCCAATTGCAGGTATGCTTGGGGGCCAGAGCCAGCATTGCAGGCGATTGTAAATTGCCTGATGTAAGGGGGCTGGGAGTCCTCTCCGAGAGCAGAAAACGCTGGTAAGTCCTTGGGTGGATTTTTAAATAACACGCAGGAGAGTCTGGCTAGAGTGGGGGGGCTCAAATAGCTGGGAGACGCTGTTTTGGGGGGTGTCTTGAGTCAGTTAGGTCTGGACACAGATTTTAATAAAGCCGTGATTGTGTGGCACAACTACGCCTTTGTAACTGCAAGCCTCCAAGCTCTCCGTTACCCTCCCCTCCCCTCTCCTCTCGGTCCTCACCGGGACAGCCCGGAAGAGGTGCGAGCCGG